ATCAAGTGTCAAAGATCACAATTCATCAAAACATGTAAAAATACGAAAATTGTTCATCAAGAAATCAAAAAGTCAAGATTTCATTTTGAAAAGTCAAAGTTTCCAAACGTAGAAATTTTTCTAAGTGTTGAAAACTTCATATTTTTTCACAACTTTGAGCCAATTTTTCACCGTGATGCAAGATGATTCAAAGGAAACTTTCAACATGAAAGTTGTAGATCTCAATGAGATCTAAAATATTTCTGAACACAAATCCTCCTAGAAATGCTTAGATCTCAAGTTATTAATCCATGAAATCATGGTCATGAAACTAAAACACAATGAAATTTTGAGCATTTTGGTCAGGATTTTGACCTAACTTCTGGGCCGAGTTTCATATAGTTCCAATTGGATTTTGTAAAAGTTATTCAAAGAGATGGTTGTAGAGAATATTACAATATTTATAAAAATGTCTAAGAACTCCTTGAGATCATTTTTGAGCAAGGAGAATCGAAGGCCAAAAGTTAGGGTTTCAAGTTGTTTTACAAGGCAGAATTTTGTGATGAACATGAACCAAATCCATAGCCATGCTGCATAATCCCACTTTTCAGGCCCTCTAACTTGTGTATCTATTCTTAATCAAAAGATTACACAAACTTTATGGCTATTATCCATTAAATCCAAGCTCTGTCTAAGTTAACTTGCCATTTTTGGAAGAAAAGCAAGACATCCATTTTGGAAAAGTGTGCTTTTGCAAATGTCAACCCTTCTTGAGCCTATCAATGGATCCTTTTGTACACAAAACATCTACAAGTCAGAAATAAGCTTGTTTAAATTTCAACCACTCTACAATAGCATGGTACAAGCTTTGGGAAGATGTTTGTCATGTTTGCTTCAAAAACAAGTAAAGGTTTTACAACACAAAAATTCAAATTCTGACTTGTTGTAGAACACAAAACCTCTTGCCTATAAATACATACACTATTTTCAAGCTAACCCAGGCATGCTTAAGCCATCAAACTCCCTAAAACTCATAATCACACACAAAAACTCCATTTTTGCATAATCTGACCAAAAACTTGAAACTCACATCTCCCTCGTGCGTTTTCAAGCCTTTTGGTTCCTAAAGCTTCTAAACATCAAATATAAACCATCCAAAGTCCTTTTGCCCAAATGTAACACCTCCATCATCAAGTTCCATTTTCAAAAACAGGGGTATGTAACTTGACTTCTCCAGACCTTCTCAGCCACTTTCAGCACAAACCAAGCATCACATTAGCTTCCTGGGAGCTTGAGGAAGCTAACTCAATCACTAGAACTTATTGAAAGTTGCTCCAAATCAAAACATGATACCCTCTTGCAAGGTGAGTTTTCTGATTTTTGAACTCCTCATATAGGCATTGTTAAGCTTTAATTTTCAAAGATAAAATGTAGATACCATTTCCAGGAAGCTGTACATATCCATAGTTTGCATTTATATGGCCTGAGCTTAGAGAATTTTGGAGTTGAAGTTTCTGAAATTTTTAGGTTTTAAATTAGGGCCAGAAAAACTCTCACTCATCTTGGATTTATAGCTTTAGTTATTTATATGGTTGGATTCGTGGGAAGAAATGCCACAACTTTCATGTTTATACTTTCCATTTTTGTTGAGAGATGAACAAGTTGCAGGTTGTCTGGCTGGGTGTGAGGTTGAAGATAAAGTTCAGGCCATGGACTTGATTTGTAATATATATTTATGGTTTAATATAAGTAAACAGATGTATAGCCACCCCAGTGGTAAGGCAGCGCACTAGTAACCAAGAGGGTGTGGGTTCAACATCCAGCGAGCTGCCTTTTGTTCATTTTTCACACTTTTACTTTCTTTTTTTTTGGTTTTTTGCAGCGCCTGGGCCCCATGACTTTGGGCCTTCATTTTTTTTTCTAACTTTCCCCCCTGATTATGTTTCATACCCCCCTGTCCCATTTTATTTCTTTATTTCATTTTTATTTTTATTTTACTTTCATATTTTCTTGTTATTATCTTTATTACTAATATTAGTTTTTTTATTATTAATAAAAAAATCCAAAAATATTTATTTCATTATTTTTGCACTTATATTTTATTTTTCTTTATAAAAATTAAAAAGAGAAAAAACAAATTTCTTAACAATTCAATTTCTTTCTTTTATTAATATTTAGATAATTAGGTTTAATTATTATATTATATTATTTCCTTGTAAATTAAAATTAATTTAGAATTTAGGTTTATTTTAATTAATTAATTTTTATGTATTTTTATATTATTCTTAAAACCTTTTCATAAAAAACTCTAAAAAAAATCCTTTTTTAGTTAATTTCTTTTTTTAATTAGTTTAAGTTAATTTTATTTGATTTTCATTAATTATTTTCTTAATTAGGTTTAGGTTGAAATCCTTTCATAAAAATCCAAACAAAAATCATTTCTTTTTTTCATTTTTTTGCATTCATGCATTTTATTTTCAATTTTGTACAATATTCAATATGGTTGTAATAGTTAATTAGATTTAATTTTCTTGCAAAATCCCCATTTGTAAATTTGTACACCCCCTCCCCTATTGATGTAATAGCTTAGTATTTTTATTTTCCGCAACTTAATGTTATATATATAAATGTTAGTAAATTAGGGTTTGTATGGAAAGATTAAAATCAACAAGTTAAGAAACCCTAATACAAGACATATCAAACATGAAAAATATACACTTGCACACTTTACACCCTTAGGGTAAATCCACTTTGTTGCCTTACAAAAATGGGCAGGTTATACATGTGAAGTATCTTAGCAAATGCAATAAAAAATACAAGATCATAGTCCCTCGATGACGTTATCCAAAGTTGTCTTTCAAAAATAATTTTAGTCCCTCAAAAAGAAAATACTAAGATATCTTACAACATTGCTATTCATGACTATACAATGATCCATGCTCGTCCCTTTTACATCCAAAGATAAGGTTACTTACCAATCCATGGTAAAATAACAATGTCAAAGGAAATGTAAAATAAACAAGAAAGACTTTTGAGTAGGTAGAATGTTCCTAGTTGCTTGGTCATTTTCAAACCAAAACATCCTTTCTATTTTCAAAACAAACACCAACACTTTCAAAACATCTTTCAAACTTGAAACATTTTCAAAAGATCAACACTTTGTATACATCCTTACGAATAAGAATTATTACAAAGTTTGCCTAAACGATGGCGCCTTTTCAAAATACTTTCAAAGACCACACAAAGCACATTTTCAAACAAAAGCAAGTGATCTAGCAAAAAACTAAGAGCCCGTAGATAACTACGGATGAAAAGGGTGCTAATACCTCCCTTTTCATAATCTACCCCCCGAACTCAAGAAAACATCTCTAAAGGTCTTTCCTGTTCTTTTCAGCCTTTCCTTTTGGATAAAAGAAAAGTCGGTGGCGACTCTTGCTAACCGCAACAATTGCGATAAACCGCAAAACAACTAAGTCAGTTCTCTCACCGCGTTACAGTAACTTTGTGTCACGACGCCAAAGTTATAAAGCGCGAGTTCCAAGTCAGTTGTTTAGTCCTGCGGAGAAATCAAAAAGAATCACGCGAGGGAAAAATTATTGCAAACTAGGAAGGCCCTTACCGTGTCTGAGCAAAAACGGATAACAGGGCCTACTACCTCAAAAACTGCAACCACGAAAGCATGTTGTGGTACGAACACAATGTCCTAAACCTGAAACTAAAAGACGGGATCCCACGCGTTTGACGAGCATTGCATTAGCCCGACAGGGATACCTCGATTGAGCTCTGTCGTTGCAGTACCCATAAGGTAGAACACCCATCTCGCGATGGGAAAGTTCACAATGCGGGATCAAGACCCTGACCGCAATCTTGGTCATGTTATAAAATAGAACTCAACTTCGTCTCCTTGACGTGTTTTCCAAACCTTCAAGCGTTAATTCTATAAACACAAGAACCCCAAACACTTAACGAAATTTGCAATAACATTATGTCTGAGGACTGCCCTAATAATCGGGCACCCCGAACACCCATTCATGAAAAATAGATACAAAACAAATTATACGTTGCAAACATAAATAACGAAGAGGAAACTAAGTACTCAGCAAGAATGCGTCTGGGATGTATACGAACAACGCAAATTAAATCACCGACCAAGAAGGCCGACATGTTTAAATATTATAAAAGGCCGGGCATAACCCATTGTTTGAATATTACAAAATTTACGGGCGTGCAGGCCCATACAACAAACAGTCGAAACAACAAAGTAAACTAAACCCCAGGCACAACTCTCTCTGCATTCAAATTTTCCTCGGTATGAGGCTTCCCATCTTCCTCGACCTCCGGAGATGAACCAGGGGGAGGCATTATCTGACCATCGACAACCTGATGAAAGGGGCCGATCCCTTCAGTGATGAGCTCAACCCCTGGATTTGTGACCTTGAGTTGGACCATTGCATTGTCATAACTCAGCTTAACAACGCCCGGAAAATCCTGCTCGAGTTCCTGAATCCGAGAAACCAGGTCGACTCGAGTCTTCAAGGCCTTCGTCTCGTTGGTTTCCCCCTCAGTGGGAGCCACAACAGCCCTTAAATTAGAAATTTCATCCTCGAGACTTTTCTTCTCGAGCAACCAGCCACCCTTCTCCGCAGAGAACTTGGTTACCTTCTCCTTCTTCTTCTTCAGCTTTTCGGCCTGGAGCCGGAACTTATCTTTATAACTACCAAGTTCAGATTCCAACTTCTTTGCCTTCACCTTGAGGGTCGATTTCGCTGTCTGCAGTTTCTCCAATGTTGTAACAGAGACAGTCTGATCACCGACAAGGACTAGAGCCATCTCCAAAACCCTCATCATAGCAGCACCATCTTTGGTCAACCTTTGTCTCTTACCCGCTGTGTCGAGGCCCACGACGACTAGAGAGTCTGCCCGGGGAACGTCCAGAGGAAACCCATCAAAGATTTTTTTTATCGATGAAACATAGGGGCAGCGTGAATTTGCGTTCGAGAGTGTCACCTGTGAGATCGAGGATGTCTCCCTTCACCGAGCAGCCCCTTTTCCTACCCGATTTCTTCTGCACGGGAGGAGGCTGGTCGACAACCGACAATGAAGAAAAAGTACCAGAACTATTATGGGGAGGTTGGCTCAGAGATGGAACGAAATGACTTTTCTTCATTACTTTCCCTCTGCTCTACGCCATCTTAAGCACACGCTCCATCAGACTAGACATCTAATATGCAACAAATAACAAATACGAGTCAATACAACGAGAAGAAAGACACACAAGTACACTAAAAGAAAATAAAGCACGGCTACCCAAAATTAGGACAACTTCCTTGAAGGTTTTGCACTTGAGGAGATCCTTAGTGTTAATGTGTCGAGCCTCATACACGGGCTAACCCTTATCATCAAGTAACTCCTCCCCACTCCTCGTCTCCCACTTAGCAGAGAAGAAGCCATCTACAAACTTATTAAGTTTCCTATAGGACTCTTCGTCCTTGTCATCCAAATCGTCCGACTTGGTAAGGTAATGATTTGTTCCCTGCAAGAAATGAGTCTCACACTAATGAAGAGCTGGAGACCAATTCGGACTCTTAGTTCCCGTCTTCATCCATAGCACATGTTCCCATCCTCTTCAACCATGATTTCCCGCTCGAGCACCAAATCAAAGGCTTCCTGCGACACAGGTTTATTGAGGTAGCACTGATCCTTGAAGTCGCGTACGGAATCCCTAAATGTATTAAATAGCCTCTTCGGATGCTTTAGGGAGACCTAATTATGTTTTTAGTTTGCAGATTGTCGTTGGAGGTGGAAGCAACAGAAGAAGAGGGGTAAAGTGGCACCAACTCGAGATAGTGATACACGATCTCAAATTCCCGAATAAAGGCAATCGCGTTTGGGTGCAGCTGGGAGGGCGCTAACATCAGGTTACCAAAGACAGCGGCCTGGAAATCACTGAAGGGAAGCCAATGTCCCAATTCCATGAAGTCATACATGGGAAATCAGTTTCCCTTGTAATATAAACATATCCTTCCGTGCTCGGTGGGCTTGAAAATCTTCCAGTTTGGCATAAATCCCTCTTCCCCCACGCCAGGCTCAATGCTTCTAAGCGCATCTTCCAAGGAGGTGGCATAGCAAGAAGCTATACCCTACGGTTCATGCCCGACCTATGTCAATTGAGGATCGGTAACTATGTCGACCGATTAGATACCCTTGGCAATGCTAGTCGTCATACTTGAAAAGCAGAGGAAAATAGTGAATTCGATGATCAAATCAATTCTAACCTTCCACCGTAAATCAAATGAAAGGGCATATGAAGGCACGGGGACATACTTCCTGACCAAAGCCCATATTCAGCAGCAAGGAAGGAAGTTATGACAAACCTTTTTTCGACTAAGGGTTCGATGTGCCCGCATACGCAACTCGACACTTGCAAATACATGATTTTCATGGGGAAACGCGTCCCTGCCATATGAACTTCATAAAGAATTCACGAGTTTCCCGGGGAAGCATGCCCCTAACACATGAACTTCATCAATAATTTATGAGTTTCGCGAGGAGGCACGCTCCCGACACATGAACTTCGTCGAGAGTTCATGAGTTTCACGAGGAAATTCGTCCTTGTCACTTGAATGTCTTCATTGAAATTCTAGTATTTAGATCACAGATGTCCTAAGAGATGTCGAGACATTGTAATCTGACTTCAACACAATGAACAAATATAAAAAATAATGCAAATAGTAAACAACATGCATAATTATTAACCCAATTCGGTGTACAACAACACCTACTCTGGGGGCTACCAAGCCAGGAAGGAAATCCACTAAATAGTATTAATTTGAAGCTAAAATCCTCTGTTTACAACTTCTCACTTAATCATTACCCGTGCTATATTTCTACCTAAGACTCGCCTAGGTATGACACCCTTCTCACTTCCCTAAGTCACAAATAGTGACAAGAACACAATTCAAATGAGCTAAAAGACAAACTTCACTAACACACAATCACTCTATACTTAGAAGTTTAAGAGTGAGTAACAATAAAGAAGGAGACACACTCCAACAAACAGAATTCACTCTTTCTTAGAAGCTTATGTGTGATTCACAATTACAACTCAACTGACAGTCCAACTCAAGTAACAAAAAATACAAGAGTGCCTCACAATAATGAACAGATGAAGCCCTAACAATTAACACTTTTCCAACTCTGGCTCGTATCTTATCTAGGTATAAAGTCTTCTTTTTATAACCTTTTATGGGCTGGATTGGCCTTCAAAAACATACCAAAGAGATTGCACAAAGTCTGCTAAAACTTCTCAATGAAAATAGGACTTCAATAATTAGTTTCCTAAATTATCTCCATAATTAGAAACTAAGAATACTCCTAGAATTAAGCTTAAATCTCTTAGTCCTTAAACTGAGCGCCACATAGGATATCATAATATTTCCAGAATACTCTGCATCTGTAACAAACTAACAAGATCTAAAAGTACAACTGTAACATACATGATGTCGAATGATTCTGCATAAGACATCTTGTTCAATATGTTTTCTCTTCAAGTTAGAACATCCTATTTATCATGTTGCTGCCTAATTTGTTTTAATATAATTAATGTCATTCATAAAAATAGAGAATTAATAATCTCCCCTTTGGAAAATTTTGGCTAAAACAAATTAACAAAGTACAATTCAGATTTTAGCAACAACAGATTTGAGGAAAATACAAAAGTCAGAAATCCAGCAGTGATCATACATTCATCAAATATATCTCTCAACATGGGACATTTACAGCTGAGATAAATGTCAGATAGTTAATCTTAAGAAGCTAGCAACATAGAGAATAAATATTCTCAGTCTGCATGATGTCAGGACATCATGTTTGACATCTCTTCATAATAGTCCAAACAACTCCATTACAACACATCAGATTCAACACACGGTACAACAAACTCATGATGAAAGGAGAAGAAAGTCCTGAAGTCATTTGGTGTACATGAGGAAGAAGATAGTTAACACTCCCCCTCAACCCATGAACCTTTTCTTGCAACGGAGGGACAAAACTTCTTCGCGGAAAGCATAAGAGAACCCTTAAGAAGCAATCAAACACCAACCTGCATGTGTAGATTCGAGCTCTGGGTAACTCAGAATATATAACACAACTTTGTTCATAACTCAGGATGGCAGGAAAACTCAAACCTGTGGGGTTCACCCACACCAAAACACGAGTCAACGGGTGAAAACCCGAGTTGACTGGATTCGGGTGCCATCTGATATTTCGAGTGCGGATTTGGATAGTTTTAAACCCGCGTCTGAAACCCGAAACGACACCCTCTTAAAAATTAAATATATAAGTGTAAAAATTTAGGGTTTCTCACTTACACCCATTAACATCTCATATCCACCTTCATCCAGCTACCTTAACTCTCAATGAACAGAAAAGTAAGAAATCAAACTTAACCTTTACGCTGTAAATCCAAGATCGAGAAGAGAAGACCTTGCCGTCAAAATCCAAATAGCAAGTTTAATACTTTCTTTGTCTTCTTGTTCAAAGGTTAGAAAACTTTCTTCGTCAAAATCTGTGTTTATTCTCAGAAAACTTTCCTCTACATTATATATCAATTTTTTTCTTATGATTTCAATTTGGAAGTTTGTAGAAACAAAATTAACTTGGGATCCTTGAAACCCTAAGAAAGAAACCAGAATTAAACCATTTAACCATCTAAATGTCAGAAAGAAAATTCACTTTTATATTTTTTTAATTATTTTGAAAGGCTTAGAAAATCGAGTTTAACTATTCAATTTATATATGAATTACTTATCAGCTTCCTGCTAACAGAATACAAAATTGTTATAAACACAATAAATTTGAATTTAGAATCTTACCCCTCAAAAATCTTGAAGAAACCATATTGAAATAGATAATAATTAATCAATCTTTTGTATAGATTAAAACTTCACTGTAAAAAATAATTATAATTAAACAATTTGTTTTTGTTATTTTTTGGTGATAAATTAAATTCTGAGTCCAATTGTTTCTATGAATGAACAAGATATAATTGGCTTAAAGAAGTGCATTAACTATTCATGGATTTTGTTGAAAAATTGTTCTTTATATTTGGTGTATATTGAGTAAGTGGTCTTTTCTTTATTGTTCTTGACTCGATGTTGTATATGGTATTTTTATGTTGGAAAGATTAGATAACAATTGTTGTGAACTACTGTAACTTTACTTAGTATGTAGATATTCTCTTCTAGAACAACTTTCATCAGTGGCTGTAAAACATAAAATTTAGACTTACTGTTGATTTTTTATTGTTGAATCCTGCTGTTAAGTGGATCAAGTGAACACAACTCCGGAACCGGAAGGAACATCTAATCCTACACAAGAAAGTACATGTCTACCAACTCAGGAGGTATCTTCTAATCTGAGTCTGGCACCTGATGTTGGGCAACAAGAACAAGAAGAAATTGGTACAAGCTTAGAACCTGCATCAAAGAAACTAAGAAGTAATGTATGGGAAAGATAAGGTTGAATGCATCTGTTGTAAAAAACAACTTAGTGGCACTTCAAAGATGTGAACAAATCACTTGAAAGGACATCTCTTGAGTTGTATTCAAAAAAAGATTAAGAATAAAAACCATGACAAGGGACAACCAGTTCTCATGTCTACTATCTCAGAAGGAAAGCAAGAGTTGGGAATTGGAAGTTATAATCTAGAAAATGTGAAGAAGTTGATTGTTGAAGCTATTATTATGTACGATTATCCATTATCAATTGTGGATCATGTTGGTCTTAGAAGATTCTTTGTTTCTCTCCAACCATTGTTTAAAGTTCCTCCTCGAAACACAATCAAGAAGGAGGTATTGAAAGTTTATGATTTTGAGAAAAAATATGCTATGAAGATGTTAGATAGCCATGAAGGAAGAGCGGTGATTACCACATATATGTGGACTTTAAGCAACCAAAAAAAGGGTATATGGCGGTTACAACTCACTATGTTGATGGCTCGTGGACTTTACAGAGTCGAATCTTGAGGTAACAAAGTTTATATTTTATAATTTAGTTGTATCATTTTTGTTCTTAATGACAATATGGAGTGTAAATATTATTATGTTAGGTTCATTTATGTTCCAGCCCCTCACACTAGTGAAAGACTTGTTGAAGCACTTGTTAATTGTTTAATGGGCTGGAGCATTGATTCAAAGCTTTATACTGTTACTTTAGATAAATGTAGCACAAATAACTCCATGATTAGTAAAATTAAGGATAAGTTGATGTTGGAAAGTTTGATAAGGGATGGGTCTTTGTTATATATGGGTTGTTGTGCGCACATCCTAAATTTAATTGTTTAGGAGGAGATATAAGTGCTTAAGGATGGGGTAGAAAATATTCGGGATAGTGTTGCCTTTTGGAGTGCTACACCTAAAAGGCATGAAAAATTCGAAGATACCGCTAGACAATTGAGAATTGTTTGCACTAGATAGTTTGCTCTAGATTTTCCAACAAGATGGAATAACACATATAAGATGCTCAATATTGCCATAGAGTACAAGGATGTATTTATTCGGTTGAAGCAACGTGAGTCTTTATACACTTGTTTGCCAACTAATTCACAGTGACAATTTGCTAAAGATGTTTGTGGGTGCTTGAAATTGTTTAATGAAGTAACTGAGTTGATTTCTGGTACAAAATATCCAACTGCCAACTTGTACTTTCCTAAGATTTGTAAGATTAAGTTGGCAATAGAGGAATGGAAGAATTCCTCCAATTCAATTATTGAGATGATGGCCACAAAAATGATGGAAAAATTTAAAAATTATTGGAGTGGTGTTCATGATATGATGGGAGTTGCTACAGTTTTGGACCCCAGGAAGAAGATGGTTGTACTTGATTTCCGGTTTCATAAGTTGTATGGCCAAGATTCAAGTGCACAAGTAAGTAGAATCAAAGAGATGTGTTATGATTTTCTCAATGATTATCAACAGATTAGACTTAGAGATGCACAACCTACCGCTCCATCCATTAGTACAACTGTTGTTGTTGATGACGAGGCTGAATTTGATGTATACGTTGAGACGATTGCAGAAAACTCAAGTTCAAGTGTTAAGTATGAGTTGGATCATTATTCGAAGGAGTCAGTTATAAAAAAACTTTTGATTTTGACATTTTGAATTGGTGGAAGGTAAATGGAGTTGTGTATCCAACAGTTCAAGCAATTACAAGAGATGTGTTAGCTATTCATATCTCTAGAGTAGCTTTTGAATTGACCTTCAGTAATAATGGTCAAATATTGAGTCCTCATCGTAACTGACTTAGCTGGACTACTGTAGAGGCTTTATGTGTGCTAGGAGTTGACTATGGGCTACTGAGAATAATGGTATATCAAATAATCTTTACTTTCTGCCTTAATTTTATTCTCGCAACTTCTACAAATAATCTTTATATCTGTGTTCCATAGTTTAATTGTAAATTAAACTTAAAATATATACTATATAGAATACTTTTTACCATAGTGTAATTATAATAAATATAAAATCATGTACTGTAGCAGATAGTACGTGCAAAGTGGAACAAAACTTAGGTGACTAAATTTGATGCTTGTGTACCTTGTACAATAGTTATGTTATTGTTTTGTTTATGTTAAAATGTCATGACTTTATATTCTTGTTTATTTTGGTCGTTTATGTTTGTAGTAATTGATGTAACTGAAAATAACAAAGTAGTCTATGTTCGTTCAATTGTTGATAATGTTGGATGTGGACTACACAGATGAATGGTTGGTTTTGTGGCTATTTTGGAGGATAATATCAAGTTGGATTTGAACATTGTTGTTTAAATCGGATTGTACTGCTTTGTCTGCTTCTCTTGACAAGTTGAATTAGGAATAGCTTCTTTCCATTTAACTTAAAAACTAACATCTCAATTCACATTAAATTTTACCCATAGTTTAAACTCAAATTTATAATTTTATATTCCTGAATTAATTTTAAATTTAAATCAAATTAGAAGTTTAAGACATTGTGCTAATTAATACTGATTGGATCACGTAATTGAACTCGTGAGTTTTTGTATTGTGGTAATAATGGATTATGTATTGTCAATTAATTATTTTTCGTTATTATATTATATATATATATATATATATATATATATATATATATATATATATATATATATATATATATATATATATATATATATATATATATATATATATATATATATATATATATATATATATATATATATATATATGAATTTTTAGAGTTGCAGAAGAAATTGCTACTGTGTTGAATGAAATGGAGTTTTACAATGAATGTATTTCGTATTTCATTTGGTGTAAAAGTTTTAAACTTTGGTGTTTTATTTAATTTTAATTTACTTCTTAATACAACTTAATTGATGCAAAGTTGTTTGGGTTACCATTTTGAAGATTAGAAGTTGAGAGATCTTGCTTATATAATGCATGTGAATGAATTTCTTTGAAGATTATGTTACTATGTTGCTATTGGAAAGTTATAATTTGATTGTAGACTTTATTTTTAATTGTAATGTTAGACTTTAATTTTAATTGTAATGTTAAGATGTTGAAGACCTTAATTTTAATTGTAATATTACCAAATTTGATGGAAAGTTGTAGACTTTAATTCAAATTTCAATGTTGATGGAAAATTGTTGGAAAGTTGTAGGAAAATTGTTGGAAAGTTGTAGGAAAATCGACGGAAAATTTCAATGTTGTATTTTATGTTTTTTGTTGCGGGTTTGAGTTTGGATGGAAAAACTCAAACCCAACGGGTGTGGACGTGGGTTTATTTTTTCACCCGAATAGCCTTTGGGTTTGGGTTCAGGTTCAGGTGGTGATTTTGGGTGCGGGTTTGGGTAGTGTGAAACCCGCACCCGACCCTACCCGTTTCCATCCCTAATCACAAGACACAAAAAAAAAAAACAAGAGAAGAGCAGACTTAGATACGAGTATGCTACCCAACATCTTTGCAAAGCAAAAACAATTGCAAACACACATAAAAGAGGAACATAAATAGAAACAGAAACAAAATGTTTCTCCCTCTTTTAGCCAAAAATTGACAAACATATCCACCATAAAACCATACATAAACCGTAGTCACCCATACCTGGAAAAAAGCCATAAGGACTATTTTGAAGACAAACAAACACAAGATGATAAAGGGGATGGATTACCTCTTTAAATAACCGAGCAGTTCCTTAGGAATTAATGATCCTAGACTGTGACAATGGTCTTGGTCAAAGAGAACGTTATTTGAGGAAGATAACTGCACCAAAAATAAATGTGCACCGTCCAAGTCAGTTTTGAATGCCTTTATTGACTCTAGACTGGTTCTCCTAGAATTGATAATTCCAATAAGTGCATGTTGTACCCCAAAATTTTCCCTCTCATTTTATCAAGATTTCCCGTCACAAGACTCTTTGAACTCCAGACAGGATTAGGGTTTTGCTCTGCTCAAGACATCTCCTTGCACTGTTAACCTAAATTAGGGTTTGAGTTTTCACAGGGATTTTTGGACCTGCAATACTCAAGGTGACTTTCATACTTCATGTTGGATTCATAAGTTTGTCCATACCAAATTTCAAGACTTGAATCAAATTTTTGCCCAGTCAATTGGACAGTTGACCTAGAAATCAGCTATATTGGGGAAAAAGTCAACTGTGGCCAATTTACAGTCAAACCTCATAAATTTTAACCTACATCAACATTATAAACTCATATGAATCATTTGATCAAATTTGGACCACAACTCCACAAGAAATTTGATCAGATCATCAAAAGGGCAAAATGGTCATTTTTAGGGTTTTGACTGTACAAAGGCAATTTCTGACTTTTTGACCTAGCCAATGGCAAATTAGGCTCAACCATGGATTCAAGGACTCAATGGCATCATCTTGACCTATTCAAAAAGTTCAAAAGACCTCAATTGCATTGGATTGACAGATGAATTTTTCAATCAACTAATCAAAATTTCACTGTACACTGAAAAGTCAAACTTTGACTTTTTGATTAAAATCAAGTGTGAATGGTCATTTTTCATCAAGATATGTCAAAACATGAAACATGTTCATCAAGAAACCCATTTTTGCAAATTATGGTTTAAAGTTGAAAAATTTCATAACTTAGAATTTTTCTAAGTTATGAAATTTTCTTAATTTTTCCTAACTTTACCCAACATTTTCACCATGATGCAATTGAATTCAAACAAAACTTCCAACATGAAAGTTGTAGTCCTTCACAAAGTCTACAACTTTGATTCACACAGTTTTCTCAAAAGAATCTTGGATCTCAAGTTATGATTTTTGGAACAAGGGTCCCTAAAACTTTTAACTTAGTGAAATTTTATCCTAATTTAGGCAGGATTTTGACCTATTTTCATGGCCATTTTTCACATAGTTCCACTTGGAATCTCAAGTTGCATTTCAAAGACGGATTGTAGAGCATGTTGCAAGCTTTCCAAAATGTCCAAGAACTCTCCAAACACATTTGTGGTTAGAGAGAATCGAAGGCTTGAAGTTGGCAAAAACTCACTTTTCATCCATGGCATGTTCATGTTCATACAAGTTGCAATTTCAAGTCAGCTTACTTTGCACTAGATTACAGGCCTCAAAATCATTTCACACTCAATAATTAAGTGCAAAACCATTGGTCTAAGACATTGTTTTGGTCATTAGAACATTGCACCTTGGATTAATCCCTAAGTAGAAAAAGAAAAATTTCCATTTTTGCTTAAATCATGCTTTATGTCAAAACTGATTTCTTGAGCAATGGTCCATATCTCATGCAGCAAATCAAATCCACAAGTTGGAGGAGCCAAGGGCAAAGTGTGCAAGGTGGTGGATAGCCTGTACAGGCCTGTTACACATCACTTCCCACTTTTGCTTCATATACAAGAAATATGCCAAATACATGAGAACTTGAACATCAGCCAAAACTAACTTGTGCAAACATTTGAGCCATCTTTCTCACACCTCTCTGAGCCAGAAACACGATCTCTTGAGCCTTCAAACCTCCCCTAGCCAGAAATCACCTTCCATTGGCAAAACAGGGCAGCATCTGCAACTTGACTTTCATAGCTCATTTTGCTCGTGCGTTTTGCCCCAAGTTGGTTCAAACACCTTCCATTCAATCCATCCAAGCTATCCCAAACCTCAAACACCAACTGTAACTCCATTTACAGGGTTTGCCATTTTCATTTTGAGCTTGTGCAGGTTGAGTTCTGTAGGCTGATTCAAGTACATTCAAGGCAAGCTAGACATTGGAGAAGGTCAAGTGAAGTTCAAGCAAGCTCCCAGACATCTCAGACCTTGTTGAAAAGCTCCACATTGTCATACACGAAGTCAGCTGAAACAGGTTTTTGTCAACTTCCTATCTCTCTACTTAGGAACATTTAGCCTTAGGTTTGTGAATAAGAAATGTAGTATTCATTACCATGAAGTTGTACATATGCTCAGTTTTCATTTATATTAAGCATGCTAAGATAATTTGATCCATGAACATACTGAAAAAACTAGGTTATATTTTAGGGCCAGAGAAATTCTCTCTGGTCTTTGAGAGTTAGGATTAGTTTTTTATATGGTTAGATTCGTCTTGAAAAGCTCTACAACTTTGATGTTATATGTTTTTGCAATAGAGCTCGTATACAGGATGTCCAGGTTTGGTAACAGGCGCGCGCGTTTTGTGAATGACAGAGGTTGAAGATGAAGTGGTGGGCTGGGCTTGGCCTGACTCACTATTGACACCCCCCTTTTATTTTTTGCACCCCTGGCCCAATTTCTTGATATTTTATATTTTTGCATTTTTATTTTTATTTCTGATTATATTTTATTATTCACAAATATAAAAAATACTTAAAAAAATATTTTTATAAATTTTCACATTTATTTTGTATTTTATTTTTATTTTCTAAACATAAAAGTAATTTAATGAACATATATCTTTATTTTATTTTAATGAAAACTTAGAAATAAAATATTAAAAATCATACTTTTATTTATATTTATATTTAAATAATGTATTGTACTAAATATTTTTATTTTAGTTTTTGTATATATTTTATTTCATTTTTTTATACATGTTTAATATAATTAATAATACATATATACTTTTATTTTATTTAATAAATACTTGAGATAAAAAACATGGAAA